ATCCTCAAAGTGCTGTTTCGCCTCTTTCAAAGTCTCTTCTTCACTGCTGCTGAGGTCGTCGTAGGCTATGCTCCAAGTAAACATTTTATCCAGACCATGCTGATATGTCGATGGACACATCAGCACGAGATCACCTGCGTTCCGGTAGACTTGCGTGATTACCAATCCTTGAATTGCTTTTTGACTGCGTACACTAGCCCTTCGTCAGTGGCGCAGTTCCCACTCTGCTTCGGTGAAAAGCAGCTATCAATTTGGAAATTAGATAGTTGCTTGCCTAGTTGGTTCCCCAGCACAGATGTAAGCGCCAGCCGTATACTGCTGCTGACTTCTTCTTCTGTCGTTTCGAGTGTGGGACGGACCACGTTCTTCCCGTTCAGCACCAGGGCTGGCAATCTTGGCATATCGGCTATCCTTGTGAGAACATGCCCCTTGACGCCGGGTAGGTCGTAGTGCTTGCACGTACATAACAGCTCCGGCTTCTTGCTGAGTTGCTTGTAGTTGCATAGAATTTCAGCTACGTTCCTGTTTCTTCTCCATACTGATTTCCTTTTGAAGATCCCAGTGATTGCAGGGTGCAGACAACAACTCTCAATATTTGTGATCAGGGCGTTCCTGATGCTGCTCTTCCTCACTTCCTTCTGTACCTAATCCGAACTGTAATCTGCTTCCGGATATTTACACAGGCTTTCCTTCCGACCGCCCTTCCTAGTAAGTCCTTGATCGCTCTCCTCTTTTCCTTCTCCTTGAACTAACCTGTGCAGTTGTAAAGGTGCATAAGCTTATCAACCGACAAAAGTGACAGCTCCTTCCGCTTGAAGGGCATCTCCAAGAGCTGCCGCAGGTAACCTTTCCCTCTCTCTTGCATTTGGCGTGATGACAAATGGGGGCAATCCAGAAACTACTCCCCGCAGACCAGGTTTTCGAGTGGGATAGCGCTATCTTCCCTACTTCTCTTTACAGTCGAAGGCCCAAACATTCTCTTTACTAACGCCCAGGCCTCTCCCCAGACTTTACCACCATCACTAACAATCTGGATCTGTTTCTTCCCCTCCCTATAGGCTGAGTCTAGACTCATCCGTAAGCTAGTATTACCTAGTGAACTATTACTCATCCGAAAGATGATAATACGAGTCCGCTTCGCCACCTCCTTTTCCTTCTCTGCCTACCCTCGCTCGCCTTTCTGTTCTGGCATTCCCTTTCTGCCCCGTACCTAACGTGTTAAGCGACGGGGAGAATCTTTTGATGAGCGTTTTTTCTAGGTTCTCCAGCCCACTGACCTCTGGCGTAGCAATGGGAATAACGACAAAGTAATTCCAGTTAAACTTTCTCAGCCACCTATACAGTAATGGCGCTCTACCCTCCGTTCCTAATTTTGTGCATCCACCATCTCTCCGCAGCACCTCTAATGTACCTGCCAATGTAAGCTTTCCTACACCATGGCGATACGAGACAGTATACTACAGGTTGCTTGAAATCGTACCAACTCCAGCTCCGTGGCACTAAGTCTAGGAACTTTTTTACCCATGGGACTTGGCCCATCAATGCAAGCAACACCGTGCAGGCGGTAGAAGCTTTCTCCGTTAGCATTCTGAGTTTTGAAACTCCTGTGTGCCCCCAAATTGTCTTTCTCAAAGAAAAGACTATGACAATGTAAGCCCAAATGAACTTAACTGGGGACACAAACAGTCATTGATCCTGATTGTCCTCACGATCGCATGCCTCATCCAAAAACTCGCCGTCATCGCCCCACGCTGATCTATTCAGTAGCTCACGAACGCCTTGCTCTTTAGAGATGTAGCTAATGTCCCTCGCCTCACATAGCCTCTTCACTTCTCGCCATTCCTTCGCCATCAGCTTAGATCTGGTATCCAGGATGTTCCGAACTATGTTCTCTTTGCTGCTAGAAGCGTGAGTCTCCTTCACAGCGGAGTTGCTCTTCGTTGGCGTACATGCCTTCCTTCTGAAGCTTTTCTCGTAGTCTGCTCTTGACATAACTCTTGCTTCCTCTTCCCAGTCATCCAGTGCTGTGTAGGTTTTCGCTGTTTGCTTCCCTCTTGCTTTCTTCGGCGGTACTTTTGAGCCGTCGTCCGTCAGCACTTCCTCTTCCATAAGGTAAGAGTCCAGTCCGTTCGCAAGCATCTCTCTGCCCCGTTTCGGTGTCTTTTGGATGTGTGGATTTCAGTTCTTATCTCTGCTCTGAAGTTACGCAGGTTCCTTGATACTGCTGCTATCATTCTCAGCTCCGCCTCCTCTATATTCCTGTCCCTCCTGTCGCATTCTTCCATTATTCTCCTCTCGGTTTCAGCAAACATCCTTCAAATCTTCTCATCACGTCTCTCCTCTTCCAATTGCTGCGTCCTCCGTTCGGTTGCTATCCTTCTCTTCTCCTCCTCTGCCTTCTTGTTTCCTCTTCCTCCGTTTCCTTCTGCATTTTGTAGTCAGCCCACCTGACCACCCGGTTTGTGTTATCTTCATTTTCCTTCCTCGATTGCCAGTACTTCGTATTGTTTGCAAAAGTACTTTGACCTTTGGCCCCCGGGCAGTCTCTTGCGATGTGGCCGGCTTGGCCGCAGTTGAAACAGATGGTCGAGCTTCCCGCTCCACCTGCTCCAGCCCCTGTAGTGCCAGATGATGCCATGCTGCTAACGTGCACACGTGCGAAGTTCAGTATCGCTCTTGTACAACCGACTCTATCCGGCCTCTTTCTCTGTCTGTCAACTCCGCCAGTGCTCGCAGTTGAAATTTCCTGGTACACCTATCTTGCTGTAGCCTTGTCCTGCTGTCGCTCGTTGCCTTGTTGTAGCCTACTGTAGCCAAAATGATGTCCTGAAGCCGCTTGTCGACATAGACACCAGTGTGAGTATCTCCTCTCACCCGGTTACCATGCTACACAGGATAGTGGAAACAATGGCCAACTGCTTTTCGTATCGTTCTCTTTTTCTGTTATCGTTGGTCACCACTGGAAAGCTGGGTCTGATCTGGCATGGTCGGCAAGACGAAAAAAACCGCAGATGTACCATCAACATGATGTCGAGAGAGGGCAGCAGCAGCAGCAGCAGCAGCAGCAGAAGAAGAAGAAGAAGAAGAAGAAGAACAAGAACAAGAACAAGAAGAATAAGAAGAAGAAGAAGAAGAAAACGAATTCATCTTCTAAGATGAAGAAGAAGAAGAAGATGAAGAAGATGAAGAAGAAAGGAAGATGAAGAAGAAGAAGAAGAAGAAGAAGAAGAAGAAGAAGAAAGGACGATGAAGAAGAAGAAGAAGAAGAAGAAGAAAACGAAAGGATGATGAAGATGAAGAAGAAGAAGAAGAAAACGAAAGGAAGAAGAAGAAGAAGAAGAAGAAGAAGAAGAAGAAGAAGAAGAAGAAGAATGTAGAAGAATAAGGGGAGGAAGAAGAAAAAGAAAGGAAAAAAATAAGAAAAAAAGAATAAATTCCCCCCTGTTCTTCGGGACATCCGTTAACATTGGAACGATAGAGAGAAGATTAGCATGGCTCCTGCGCAAGGATGACACTCATAAATCGAGAAATGGTCCAATTAAAAAAAAAAAAAAAAGAAGCCCAAGAAAAGAAAAAGAGATGGTGTGTCATTTGCTTTGTTTGACTGATAGGTCTTCCTCGTCCCTTGTCCTTTCTTGACTGAATCCCTTTCTCTTTCTCTTGCCTCTGTGAGGTTTGGTTTCCTCCTTTTCTTTACCTCTTTGCCTTTTGCCTGCGTGCAAGTGGGTCCTTGTGACACATGGGGATGGGGGCAGCCGGCGCTCAACCTGTCATCCACGAGGCCGGCCTTGTATGTAAGAGGTGATGAACAGGTGGAGCTTTCCTTCTTTCCTTTTTTGTTGTCTTTTTTCGCCTTTGCGCTCCGATACATGGTGTTGATGATATATATAAACCACGTTGACTATTTGCTCTGGCGCTATGGTGCAATCCTCTTGCTTTAGAGGAAGGCCTATGTGATCAATGGATCATTTACGTCTGGTCCGGAGCAGGACCTCCCCTTGTGCGAGGTTACAGCTGCAGTTAGTCGCTCTTTGCTGTGAACAGCATCATCTCTGCCAGAATAACGTTGATGGAATGACTTATGTAGCTACTTCTGAAGAGGAGGATTGCTCCCCGATTCTTCGTTCCCTCTCCACACCCGGAATATCATTTATTCAGATTGCCAGTCGGTACTGAATGCTATACTCACCAGCAGTGTGATGTACGACATCTTGCACGGTTTGGTGGGCACTTCGAATAGCATTCGTCCTTGCTTGCCACAATTTGGCGTGATGTTTGTCGGTGTGGGAGATGCTCTGTGTGTAGATTTCACTGCATTTACGGTTTACATTTATCGTGCCTGCTGTTCCTGTGCACTGGGTCGGACTTTGTCTTCCCCCGAACACAGCGCACCCTCATCACGACTGCATTGGACCGGAAAGATTAGGACGTTTTGTTCGGGGGAAGACGGTGGTCGTTCGGGTCTCATCTCTGACCCTGTTAGATGTCTGCAAACCCTTCTCTGGTCCACAGACGGGTCTGTCTGTGGGCTGTTCCCTCTCAACACCTCTGCGTGTAAAAAGCTGTCATGAAACATAGATCAAAGAAATGAAGGAAAAAAGGGTCAAACGAAAGTGAAAAACAGAAAAGAAAAGTTCTGGTGTCTGCTATGCTTTTATCCCTTCCCTTTGTTGGTTGTTTTCTGCTTTTTGCCACCATCTTTTTGCGTGTGTGTGTGTGTGTGTGTGTGTGTGTGTGTGTGTGTGTGTGTGTGCGTGCGTGTGCGTGAGCGCATGCGAGTGTATGTGCGTGCGTGTCTGCGTGAGTGCACGCGTGTGTGTGTGTGTGTGCGCCCGTGCGTGCACACGTGTGTGTGTGTGTGTGTGTGTGTGTGTGTGAGAGAGAGAGAGAGAGAGAGAGAGAGAGAGAGAGAGAGAGATGGAAATGGGCTGACAATTACTGGCGATTTTCTGCAAGAGAAGGTGCTGACGCCTCGTTTGTTTGCCTGTTTGTGACACTAGAAATGTCCATTTGATGCAATTACCATCATCAATCTTCCGAAGGACTTGGAGAAAGACACGACTCATCGCTATGGCCCCAACGCCTTCAAGTTGCACAGGTACTGTAATCCACTCTTGTCTTTCCCCTGTCTGCTACCTGCCTTATCGGGCCATTGTGTCTTGTTGTGTGATAGGAGAAGGAAAGACTATTTCTCAGTTTACGAATGTTGAATTGGATATGAAGAACGTTTAGCACAGCTTCATAACCTGACATGCTACCTGAACCGTCTGGGTGATCTGGACCAAACCGGGTCACTGATTCGTCCGGCTTTGCGGGGAGGTGGAGAAGAAACGACCTCCTATTGGTTTTCCTTGGGGTGGGGTAGGCAGGGTAGGGCTGCCCACATGCACAGCTGCACAAATCTTGTGGTTTTGATGCTTTTTTAGATCATACTTGCGGCGCATCGCGATGCGCTGTACTGCGCACGTGCGCCGCACTGCGCATCCCGCACGACGCGCGCGCACTGCATGCGGTGCACCTAAAAAAATGGGGGTCAAAAAAAAAAAAAAAACTTGTGAGGGGCGGTAGTAGACCCGCCCCCCTGCTCGCGTAAAATAAGAAACGGGCAGCCAATTTGTTTTTGGAGGCCGCGCATTGGCCTGAAAGTTTTTAGTAACCTGTAGTTCGGGTAACACTCTCTGTGTGTGGTAGGGTATTGCAGTCTGTATGGTAGGGTTCTTGCAGGCCAGATTCAGTCATGATGAGGGTCGCGATTTCTCAAAACGTTCTCTTCTTATTACTACGGAAGTAGAAAACGACGGAACTGACATCCGTTTTTCCTGGAATGTTTTTTTTTTTTTTTTTTTTTAAACGAAGAAAATCAGAATTTCTTTGCACGAGTGTCGCCCGGCACGTCCAACCTGTCAGAACCTCAACGGTAATTTGCAGTCTGTATGGTAGGGTTCTTGCAGGCCAGATTCAGTCATGATGAGGGTCGGGATCTCTCAAAACGTTCTCTTCGTATTACTTCTGAAGTAGAAAACGACGGAACTGGCAGCCGTTTTTCCTGGATTTGTTCTTTTTTTAATAAAAGGAAAAAAACGTAAAGGAAGAACAGCTCTTTGCACGAGTGAAGCCCGGCTCGTCCAACCTGTCAGAACCTCAACGGTAATGTTTACCAACGGGCTCGCTGCACTACTCTCGACATGCACAACAAGACATACATGGCAATGTATCTTTCCATGTTCAAGCGGAGGATTCAGTCTCATTTGTTCAGAGATTCTCCAAAAAAAAAAAAAAAGAAGGGTTCCAGAGATACGTTACGTGCTTACGTGATTCATCGGCCCTTCGCTCTCCACCACCCAACGTATGAATGAATCTTCCGCCAGAACATGGAAAGATACACCGCCATATTTTTTGTCGTTTGTACATGTTGCCCCGCTTCCAGATTCATGTTGCCCGTTGATAAGGGCGGTTTCTTCGGTCCGATAGTGTCAGCACACGGTTCTTCTCTCTCTCACACGGTTTCTTCTCTCTCTCTCTCTCTCACACACACACACACACACTGAAAATAGGAATCGCGCACAGTGCGCACCTTGCACTGGTAGCGCGTCCCCATGCGCTGCGCGCACGGCGCACCTCGTGCGTGTGCGCGCGCACATGCGCGCGCGGTGTCACCGCGTGTATGCCGCACGGCGCTGCGCACCGCACTAATGCGCCGCAAGTATGTTTTAGATGGATCGTGTGTGGTGAAGGTTGGGGAGGGCTGGTTGGGGTGTTTATGCTAGTAGTAGCAGCAGCACTGGTTGAGGCAATAATAGCAGTAGTAGCAGTACCTTCCCCAACCCCCGGGACACAACTTGCCCTGATCATGGATGTAGACGAGCTATCTTTCTGGCGCCGTGCAGTCGTGATGAGGGTGCGTTGTGTCTGAGGAAAGACGCGTAATAATCCCAACGGCAGTACATAAGCATGTTGTAGTCGAAGAGGAAGGTCCTATTTCAAACAGCCTGAAGTTATTGGTTGGCAAGATGATCGCAATATTTTGAGCAGAGGCTGGTGGAGGCCCTGTGCTTGGAGGATCTGCTGTTGCGCTGGATCCACTGAAGATTGTTAGAAGTCCAGGTGAGCCGTACGGTCCAGATCGTAATTTGGAAGTTCAGGTGAGCTGTACGGTCCAGATTGTAAACCGTACGGACAGACTCCACCCAGTTGGCATAGTCCGTAGGTAATTGCTTCCCCCCCCTCTGTTTGTAATTGCTTGAGGTTGGCCTTTTTATCTGTATTTTACTTTATTAGCAGTGTATGTTCAGACATTCATTCGTCGGCATTTTACTTGATTTTGCATGTTGGTTCTTGCTGAATAAGGGATAAGTGATGAAAATTAGCTGCAATAACTGAAATATATGCTATTTGGAACTGGAATCACCCTGGCCGCCTGCCACCAGACTTCCCCTCCAATGAGTCTATGAGGAGCTGTTTCACTTGGGTGACCTTGTTTTAGGCCTCTCCTTTACGTGCTTGTCTTGTCTTTTACTCTATCTTGTCTGTTTACCCGGCTTTTCAATTCTCTACGCCGCTTTGTGTATCTCGTTCTCTCCGGTTGTTATCTACTTTCCTGTTTGTGTGTGTCCGCCACTGTGCAGTCAAAGACCATGTATCTGACCCTCCTGTTCTCTTTCTATGTCAGATTGGCAGTGTGTGTTTAGGTGGCGAACTGTATTCCTCAGTCGTCTGTTTCTTCTTGTGGGGGATTTGCGCTTGCCCTCCGTCTTGGCCTCCCTTCCGGAGGCCTGTCAACTTTCATGCAGGGTTTTTGGATTTGATGAATTCATGGATGACCATTTTTATTTACTAATCAATGTTTTACTGGCTTCCTTCTTGAATTGTCCTGTGTATGTTGTTATGCTATGTGCTGCAGACTGCCGGTGCCAAGACCAGGCCAAGTGTTGGGGCTTGTTGGCACAAATGGAATTGGGAAGTCCACAGCCATCAAGGTCCGTACACCCTATGTTTTCATCTGAACTGTTATCCTTGAGCAACTGCATGAGCACTAACTGAGAAAAAGTAAACTGGTGGTCTTAAATTGTCAATAACTGGCAGCGCTTAAAGTATAAGTAACTTGTGTGTCTTCCAGGTTGGTCTGGCCACGTGGCTTTGGTGTGTCTGCCAGGTTGGTCTGGCAAGGTAATTGCTTGCAGTGTCTCACTTGCAAGGTTGGTCTGGCAGCATTAAAACTTGTCCGTCCCTGGGTAGAATTGTGAGGTTCCTGGCCTCCCCTTGGTTTGTCAATTAATAAAAGAGGTTTCCTTTTACAAAAAAAAAAGAAAAAAAAGTGTAGGTAACTTAGGAAGATAAATGATTGGTTACGGTGAACCACCAGTAACTTGTGGTGACAAGGTCTTCCCTAGCCTTCGATGTTGGGTGGCGAATGTCTTTTCTAGCCTGTGACTGCTGGATAGCCCATCCAAAGAACGCAACTGAAAAATTATTGGCCCTGTGGTGACCACTCCGGTTGCAGAAATATGTGCCGAGTTGGAATGGCTATAATGATTATTTCATGCTAATTGAAGTTTAGGTTGTTGAAACGTGGGTGTAGGCTGTTGCTTAAATCTTCCGGGGGGGGTTTGTGGAGGATGTTGTGATTTCTTCTTTTCCGTTCTTTTTTTTTTTTTTTTTTNTGATAGTGAATCTGTCAGTCTGTCAGAGTTAGGATTGTGTGTGTATTAGAGAGAAAGAGAGAGAGTGAGAGAGAATTGCACCCTCAAGTAAATCTGGCAAAGTAGTCTGCTAGTCTCTTATACACATCTAGATGTGTATAAGAGACAGGCTTAAATCTTCCGGGGGGGGTTTGTGGAGGATGTTGTGATTTCTTCTTTTCCGTTCTTTTTTTTTTTTTTTTTTTTTTAATTCTCTCCTCCCTCCCCCGCCCCCCCCATTTCCCTCTGCATTCTATGTTGACTTTTTCGTTTTCCTGGTATTGGCCCATCAGACCCTGGACGCTTATACTGACCTGCAGCAAACCATGGACTCTCGACTTGCAGCAAACCTTGGACTCTAGACTTGCAGCAAACCTTGGACTCTAGACTTGCAGCAAATCTTCGACTCTCGACTTGCAGCAAATCTTCGACTCTCGACTTGCAGCAAACCTTGGACTCTCTTAAGGAATACTAACGTTCAGCAATTCACCGTCAGATGAAAAGTATAGGGAGCTCTACATGAATGTTGACGAGTTCGGATGTGATTGCTCTTAGGCAGAAGGATGTGAAGGGATTTCTGATCTTGAAGGGCAGTTGAAGCTTCTTCTGTCTCTCTTTTTTTTCCCCTTTGTGGGTGTTATTCCTTAGAGCATCCACTGCTTACGCGCTTTCGTTTTCTGCTTTCAGGGGGTTGTTAGAGCATCACTGTATCACTGGCCAGTAGGTGTGAGCCTAGGAATCTTTGTAACTGACGTGGATTTTGTTTCTCTCTTTGTGTTCTTGGCCCGTCTTTGCAGGTTCTGGCAGGGAAATTGAAGCCAAATCTTGGGAGGTTTGATGTAAGTGGGCACATGCGCACGCTCGGCCGTGATTTATGCTTAGAGTGAAAGATAAAACAACCAAGTGAATTACCATTGGCACATTAGATGATGTTGTTGTTCTCCTCCGAGATATCAGGATGCCATGTTTAGGCGCAGTAGCTGCACAGGGGTGAGGTGGTTTCGAATCCATCCATGAAATCCAGAGGTGCCATTACCTTTACGAATGGAGTGCCATTACCATGAAGAGAGAGAGAGAGAGAGAGACCGGCAGCTGTTTGGTCACAGGATCTCTTTATGTTAGTCTTTCTGCTGTGATTCGTTTTTTCTGTGATAGTATCATGCAGGGGTCAGACCTGCTGTCCGGCTTTTTCACGTAAATGGTCAAATAATGGTTGTCGGAGGTTTTCCTGGAGGAAGGCATTGATGTTTCTGTGTCTGCTATGTTTTGTGAAATAATGAGATATTCAGACGATGCGTTGCATGTGACTGTCAGAATCCACCAGACTGGCAAGAGATTCTGACCTACTTCCGCGGTTCAGAGCTTCAGAAGTACTTCACGAGGATCCTTGAAGACAACCTGAAGGTATGATGCCCCTCATGCTGCTCTCTTCTTGGCCTTGTGAATCCACATGCGTTGGACAGAAATTTACAACAGACATTGCTTGTACAGTGAGCAAGAGAGGAGAATTCGTGCAGGATGACACAGCAGTCTTGTACGCACGTTGTTATTGTGATAGTACTGCAAGTGTAATGCCTGCAGCCGTCATGTTGCCACAAAGTTCAGACTACAACAAGTGCAGTTAAAAGGAGGTATTCCAGAGCAGAGGAGTCACTGGTGGTTGTCAATTTCGTTTCCTTGTAGATAGGTATGCATGCCAATGGAATATAAAACAGCAGGAAGTGTCATTCTCTTTTTGTTCATACATACTTGTATTCAACCTCATTGAGAGTTGCGGAATCGGAAAACAGAGGAGTTGTGTGTCAGGCTACACAGTTTTCTATGTTGAGGTTCAGACCCTTTGTGATCAGCTGTGGGGTATCTGCACTAAAGCCCCAGTACCAAGAGTTGTGGCGGCCAAAATATGTAGAGGTGTAAGGGGTAGATGGATTGGATGGTGGCAGGCCTGTTGGCCTCCACATATATTGCAGGACGTTTTTCCTTGTCTGCAGAGTATTGGTGGTTAGGAAAAAACGAGAATTCGATCTGAACTGGTGGTTCGAAAAAAACGAGAATTCGATCTGAACTGGTGATCCGGCAGGCTTGTTACCCCCCTCCCCCCCCAAAAAAATAAAAAAATTGTGAGGATGATAGTAAAAGAATGTTGCTGGGCAAACCTTAACCTTGAGCTCAGAAAATTACAATGTCGAACCTGCTAATTTTGAGGATGCATTGCGATAGGTCATGTCCTTACAATCATTCCAGGGGCAATGGAATTCCTGAGTTTGAATTGGTTTCCGCAGCCTCCACGCATATGACCTCTTAACACTGGTGATCCTGTGTGTGTGTGTGTGTGTGTGTGTGTGTGAGAGAGAGAGAGGGGGAGAGAGAGAGAGAGCTTCAGTGATATTGGGGACTGATAGAGACTGTGTGGTCGCTTGCTTTGCTTGCTGCCTTGTCTCATGTACAGGCTATCATCAAGCCACAATATGTGGACCACATCCCGAGAGCTGTCAAGGGAAATGTCAATAAGGTGCGATGAAAGAACGCAGCGAAGAATGGCAACCATCAGCTGTGTCAGTTGTGTTTGCTTCTGTTACTTCCTTAGGCTTACTTCTGCATGTTTTGCATGACTTGAATGTGTGCAAATTCGGCAACCTGACTTTGACTATACTGCTGTCTTGGTGGCCCTATCGTCTTCATCGGAAAAGAATGCCCACACATTGTATGTGAATATAACGCCGCTGGGGTTGTATTCACTTCTAACGCATGGATATTGTACTCAGCAAGTTGCTAGCGACTCTGGTGCGCACCCCCTCCTTCTTCGCCCCGCGCCCCCCCCCCCCAAGAAAATAAAGAAGAAAAGACTGTAAAAACAACTCGTAGAGATTTGCAATGCGAAAAAACTTTTGGGTGATGGTGTCAGAGATCCTTAATAATTCAAAGAATAAAAGAAATAAGAATAATCAATCCAAAGCACATCGCTTTGAAGTTACGACTCCTTTTAATCCTCTTTAACCCCCATGCATACCCTTCTCCCTCTCCCTAGAAGACATTATACCCATGCCACATGCAAATATAATGTCTGGACGTTCTATTTGAATATACCGCATGGGTGCTATATGAAAAACGAAGTGAGAAAAGTAAAATCTGAGTTTTGAAGGGCAAGTTTAGCATAACGCTAGGTGTTATTTCCAGGTGAAGATGGTAGGTGTGAGGCATGCAAGAAGCGAGAGCCTGCTTCCTGGGTCATGGGTCTGGAGGGGCTGTTTTCATTGTCTTCTGTTGCACTGAGAAAGCTGTTGCAGGTGCTGCTGGATGCTGGGTCATGGGTCTGGAATATAGGGAAAAAGAGGGGCTTTCTATTTTTCTCTTTTGTGCAAGGTCTTTTTTGCAACTTGCCTTGCTCTAAACCACCACTACTCCACCCAGGCAAACTTCATAATTGAATAATGCAACGTCCCGGGTTCTTTGGATGAACAGTGCTACACCAAAATGGCTGGCGGTGCCAGCCAGAAAAAAAGGGGACTGTGTGGTGTTTCTTTTCTTTTTTGGCAAGTAGGAGGAATTTGCGTTGGCAAAAAAATACGCAAGGAAGGGCCGGTAGTTTAATGGATTTGTTATCCCTCGTGACGTTTACTTTGTGTGCCGCCCAGAACACGTCTCCAGTATTACAGTGGTATATACCATTGTTGGTGGGGTAAATCTTGTTCCAACTGCGTACACATGGTTTTGCGATTTGTGATTGTTGGAGCAGGTGTTGACAGACAAAGACGAAAGGGACAAAAAGGAGGAGCTGGTCACCAATCTTGGTACGGTTTTGTCCGCGGCCCTGACTCCAGTTTGTATTGCCTGGCAAACCACATTTCTGCATGAGATTTTTGTGAAGACTGCAATGATTCTCTCTTTCTGGCAATGCATCTTCCTGCATAAGGTTTTCGTGTAGACTGCCAGCTGAATGTCTGGACTAGTTGCATTGGATGATGATATATTCTTGCCTCCCAACTTGCCCTACTCTTGCCTTGCAAGGTGTTGTGCTACTTGGCCTATGGGTTCCCTCGTTTTTGGCTGTAGCATCATGGCAGACTGTGTTCCTGCTGGACCCATTCCTAGACCTAATGCTCCCCCCTACATGCGGACTGCGGTCATTCTGATTGCACCTGTTAGCCCTATGGATCTCCACGCCCACCGGAGTTACTGGAATATCCCTACCGGACCCCCAACAAATTCTACTTTTGTCTCTCTCTGTCCTAGAATTTCCTAAAGGCTGTCCATTGTCCAATCTTCTGTTCTAGCACTCCTTGGACACTGAAACACAGTGTGGGAACGAGAGTTAGCTCATGGACTTGAGAACAGGGATTCAACAAGTATCATGCGGACTATCTCACACAGAGGCAACACAGCAAAATTACACTCTTGGAAGTCACATCAAATCAGGCAGAGCATTTCTCAGAAAAAATGCATTACTCTCAGACTGCAACCGTGCGGCTCATAGTAGCATGATATAATTATCAGCATAGAAAATGGTGCTCATTGTGCTGAAAGTAGTATCAGGTCTACCGGTAAATTGAGTGTGTTCTTGCCAGGTTTCTGTCAAGCTGGAAGTATTCTAATATGGCTAATTTGTGGATGGACTAGCAAATGAGAGGAAAGGTGTCTTTTATAGGCAGTATAAGTTAGATGAAGCGTTTGTTTCTGATTTTGGGGTGTAAGCCAAGCCAACATTTTTGAGTTGTCAGATTGTAATTGAATTGTGTACGTGCCAATCATATTTTTCTGTGATGTGTGGTCCTTCAGACTTGAGGAGCGTGTTGGACAGAGAGGTGGAAAATCTATCAGGAGGTGAATTGCAGCGCTTTGCAATCGCTGTTGTTGCGACACAACAGGCAGACATCTACATGTGAGTTTTGTTACCCTCAACTTTAGAGGAAGGTATGCTGCTGAAGGAAATTGTAAATCATTTGCAATGTGCATGACACCGTTGTTCAGTGCGTTTGTATCTTGTACTTTTGGAAGGAATACCTACCTGTTTTTAGAGGGGAGATTATCCACGATCCCCTAAAGCTTGCCAACCGTCTGAAGATTTTAAACGAGCCCTAAAGCTTGCCAACCGAATATGAGAGTTTGTTCTGGGTTGGAGTAGTGACAAGCTCGATGTCTTTTCTAATCTGCACATCCATACACTCTGGTATCATGAAGTGGTGAGAACAGTGAAGTAGCAAATCGAATGCGCTTTGTTGACTTATAAGCTCCTTTATGATTCTAAGGGGTGTGAATTATGTTGGTGTCAAAGGTGCGACTGGCTGTGTTAAGATTTTGAAGACGCCGTGTAGTTTGAAGTGTGGACATGCATGGGGTATGGTGAGGGCAACTCGGGAGCGTACTGCTGGTTCTCTTTTGGAGGTGTATAGGCGGTGCTGCAAGCAATTCAACGACAAGGATATTGATGTCAATCGAATAGTGCTCCTTAAATCTTCAACAACTCTATTATGTTGAAGCGGAGGACCATTTTGAAGGCAAGCAGGTTGGCCTAACTCGCCCATCTTTTGTGGATCTGTTTCTTCTGGCACTAGTTGAATGGCGAAACTGATTACTCTCACGTCATGTTGCATCAGGTTTGACGAACCTTCAAGTTACTTGGATGTGAAGCAGAGGTTGAAAGCTGCCCAGGTTGTGCGGTCTCTACTTAGACCAGCCAGGTGAGCATTGCGCACATTGTAACTCTGGTGTAACCAATCACACAATGGGCTGCCAAATTAGTGCAGCCAATTGTGGACTTGAAGAAGTGGTCTTGATTTTTTTAATTTTTTTTATAATAAAACAGGTCCTTATGGGCCCGGCTCTGTTTCTATTCTGGGGAGCATCAGTCCGGTTCCTATTCCATCGGCAAGTCAGAATAAAACATTACATCATGAAACCCACTCATGCTTCCTTTGGTCCGGCCGAAGTATCCCTGACCAGCATTGATTACTCCAACATCGTGGAGGATCGACTGTCAGCTTGCCTTACTTCCTCCTTTCCTCTCAGGTCTACTGCATGACGTGTCAGATAAATGATAAAAAGCAAGAAAGGTAAAAGAAGCCACTGAAGATGCAAAACCGGATTATACCCAAGAGCCTAGCTCAGTGGGTACATCCGTGAACTGTTGAAATACAGACCTGTGTTCGAATCCAGATGATGGAACTCGATGAATACAAACCAACTACTAATGAATTGTTTGGGGCCGGTCAGGTCAATGATAATATCTCAAGGCCGTCACCCTTCAAAAAAAAAAAAAAAAAAGAGATTCGGATTCTGCCCTCCAACATTATGTGACCTGTGATGAAGGTAGTCCTTCTGCTGGCTGTGAACTCTGACTTCTCCTCCCTGCTTCTGAGATCACAACGCGGCTACTGGACGGGCCTTGGTTGTGTCAAATGTTGATGTTTGAATGAAATGCGGGGAAGGTATTTCTGTTACAGTGAAGAGGTGAATTACTTGCTGGGCAATGTGAAGGAACTGTTCTTTGGGACTGTTTGCTATCTTCAAACTGCAACTACTGCTCGAGCCTTGCTTGTGTCAAAGCCTTGTTTTCAATGGGAAGAAAGTGTAGAAAGTTTACAGAACAGCTCTACAGCAGGCAACTGTTAACAGAGAACTTCCCGAGCAGGGAACAATAGTTTGGATTGACAGATTTGCAGTTACTACTGTTCGAGTCTGCATTTAGAACAGAGCCTGGTAAAACGAAGTACTGCAGTCCTTGTCAGAGTTGCTGATGTATGTTGTCTATGAGTCTCTGCACCCATGACTCTCCTCTTCAGTACACTCTACCTCTTACAATGTGTTATGATGTGTGCGGTAGGCTGATTGCAGTCGCTCGTTTATCTGTTTGTTTTGTCCTTTTCTGCAGCTATGTGATTGTGGTGGAGCACGATCTGAGTGTGCTAGACTATCTTTCGGACTTCATCTGTTGCCTCTATGGAAAACCTGGTGCCTATGGTGTGGTGACATTGCCCTTCTCAGTCCGTGAGGTAAGGTTCACAAAATTGTCAGAACTATATTTCTTAGGCTGATTAATCAGGGTCACGCAGTTTTCCAGTGCCCCTGCAACTTTTGCTCACGGAAAGCTACACGTGTCACAATACGAGAGGTGCTCAAAGGAGGTTGCTTGGGAAAGTCACACGAGTCACAATACGAGAGGTGCTCACAGAAAGTCACACGCGTCACAATACGAGAGGTGCTCACGGAAAGTCACATGCGTCACAATACGAGAGGTGATCAAAGTCACACACTCAGAGAGAGAGAGAGGGGTGGCAGAAGGGGAGAATTTGTTTGGGGAAGAGGAGAGCTGTGTGGAACTTTCGACGAGAAGGCTTACCTGGTTAATTGTTGATGCGAAATCAGCGACACAATCTTTGGTTGAACTTTGGTGAGCCCTCCATTGCAACATGCACCGTTGCCATACATAAGGAACGAGTACAATAGGTTAGCAGTGTGGTCAGCTTTCTGCATGTGGGCTTGATTTCTTGTTTGAGTAAATGCAGGTTGATCTGAACGTAATAGCCATGTGTTTTGAGACTTCCACAGTATCAATGTGAAAGGTATGTCACCACATACAACGATTCTTGCATTGTCTTTGTTCTCAAGGGAGCTGACTTCTAGCCGTGTTGTTGATGGGGTAATTGCAGGGTATCAATATATTCTTGGCTGGGTTTGTGCCTACTGAAAATCTGCGTTTCCGGGATGAATCATTGACATTCAGGGTGAGTGTATATATCTGCTCGTGAAATCTCTGTGGATTTTGTTAATATCCCAGTATATGACTGGGCAGAAAAGCCAGGGGATGTGTATCTGGATTGCTTCAAACAATTCATCTGCGCTCTGTCGTGGTCCTGATGCATTTGGACTGGTGGAACAATTGGATGTGTAAGCGGCATTTTTAGTTTCGGAAACATCTAGAATGTTATGTACTGTATTAAGATGCAGTGTCATGTGAAGCTGAGGGCGCATTCCCAGCTGCCTGAATGATGAATATAGCAGCAAATGTGCTCCTCGGGGTGCAGGCGTCAGGTCAAGATGGGGCGGGGGGGCGATTGAACTCCCATGAGGTGATTGTATAGCCTAAATGGTACGTACTCACCAGAACAATAAACGAAACGTAACTATGGTAATGCTTTGTTAAGGGGCTTTTCAATCTGACACCGCTTTAGGATAGGCAAAGCGAAGTGTTTTCCAGGAGTTGGTTAGGCTGTCACAGTTCTTCTCTTCTTGCATACGTTCGGCTTTGATGATACTTTATAGAGTTCTCATTTGCGCTCGTAAAGTTTGGTTGCCACCACACAATCTGTAAGGTGCGCATCTGGGCAAGCAGATGATATGGATTTCGCCCGTTCTAGGAGTATACCTCGGAAGAATGACACATGTTTGCTTATGCATTTGTATTTGAGATATGTATAAAAGAAAAGTTGTTGGGGAAGAAATTGTTTGTTTTGCAAGGCTGATATGCCAATTGCGCTCTGGTTTCAGACATGCTTTGATGGGCATCAGAAATTACGGGATACTGTGGTTATCGCCTTTGTGGAAAAAATGTAGGCTCTGCTGTGTCTGTTTTCAGCATGATACGCTCATTTATCATGGGACTTGCCCTCCGTTCTCTTCTGTATCTCAGCATACCCCCCCTGGCCATGTTCTCTCTGTCTGTTGTTCTGTTGAGTCTGTTTTGCCCTCTGTACTCCTCAGTTGCCGTAGCCACGTCACTTGGTTGCTCAGGCTGTTTCTGGTTTTCAATGGGGACTGAGATGAGTTGTCTCTTTCAATTGTTAGGTTGCGGAAAATGCAGCAGAGCAGGTTGAGGAGGTGAGGTCGTATGCACAGTACAAGTATCCTTCGATGACCAAGGTACAAGGTAAGGGTGTTCTCTGTAGTGGCTTTGTGTTGGGTGCCCTGTCCTTTGTGTCTGGAGTGCTCTCTGGGCTATTCGTGTCTTGTGGTGAGCGAAGTCCATGTTCAGCATATTGAGGTAGCCATGATGTTCAGTCAGTTTTGGTATGGACTGAGCTTGAGCTAGATTCCAGGTGATAAACGTATGTAGCAATATGCTCAACCTATCTTTGGGGGGAAATGCGTTGGTCAGGTAATGCGAGGCTTCAGATGGTGTCCTCGATATGCCTTTCCTCAAGAGTTGTTCAGGTAGTACAGCTGTACATTGTGAATTGCTGATGAAATTAAGGAATGCACTGTGCTTAGCACTGTTCTTAGATAGCAGTTTTTCTATATGTGCTGTGATGAACTGGAACTGATGCCACTTCCTTGTGTTGACGCTGAATGCAGGTGGGTTCAAGCTAGCCATCAAGACTGGTGAGTTCACGGACTCACAGATCGTTGTCATGCTGGGAGAGAACGGAACCGGCAAGACAACATTCATTCGTATGCTGGTGAGGGCCAAACTGTCGTATGGTTCTCTGGTTCTTCTCGGCCCAAGTCGCGGAATGATTCTTTCCGCATTCTCTCTAGCTTTGTCCAAGTTTTTCATCGTTCATCTGCTCTGATTCATTTTTCATCTGCTCTGGTTTATCCAATTCATTTTTCATCTGCTCTGCTTCATCCTCTTGAGCAACGAGGTAGCAGAGGGGGGTTGGAAGAAGCTACCACGTTTCTTCAGCGTGGCCAGCCTTGTTTGTGAGATGCGCAGTCAAGGGGGAGCCGAAAGAATTGACGGAAAGAATGGTTTCTGTGCTCTTCATGTTTGTCGTGTATTTGTATTCTGTTTTGCAAAGTGCGCTCTTTTAGTTGATAGGTTATGGAGCACCATATGTGTAGGCTCAGCTGCCATGAATCCCTCATGATGGTGGTATGCTTTGTGCTTTATAGTCTCTTTGAGCCTCTTGTCTTTGCATGCTGTTTGCCATTATAGAACTCTGGAGAATTCTGTCAGACAAATTGTATCCTGCCACTCCCATCTGGATGGTGTTTTTGTGCGTTCTTTGAGGTTTTCTGAGCCTGATGTGAGCACTACGTTCAATGTGCGTACCTTGCTTTTGGAAACACATTCATCAATCCAACACCTAACAAATGCATTCATCAATCCAACACTGAACTGTGGACCTTTCTGTCAGCTTTTATCCGTTGTGTATTTGTTACATTGTTTTTGCCGAAATTTTGCGAGTAATGCTCTCTTGACGATTTGTAGCCATTTTGTACAACAAAATAGCATGGACATGTAGGGGGTATCTGGGCCACATCTGGCTGCTCGGAATGCCGGGTCGTGCAAGGTCCTGTGGGTTCCGAATTCCGCATTAAATAAGATTTAAAAAATAGAACACACAAATCAAATGAAGGCACACCCCTTCAGATTTATAACCCGCTCTCCCCCCTCTCTTCACCCCCACAACCCTCAACTGACAACACTGATGAACAAAAATGAGACCGGATCATTGATGGGCACAGAAATGCCCCAATCATGATCCACATAAAGATAAAAAATAAAAAATAAAAATTCCAAGTCTTTTGAGCTGCTTGGGTGACTTCGCCAGACATTCAAATTTCAAACCGATGTCGCAGGTAACCTGTTTTCTAGGCTCATATTGTAATATTTGTGTTTGCCTACAGGCTGGGCTGCTGCAGCCTGACACAGTCGAAGCTGGAATTGACATACCTGAGTTCAATGTCAGCTACAAGCCACAGAAAATCAGCCCCAAGTCTCAGGCATCAGTGCGGTATCTCCTCCACAGCAAGATCAGGGATTCCTATATGCATCCTCAGTTCAACACGGATGTGATGAAGCCTCTGCAGGTAAATGACCCATGCTGCGATATGTGCAAGTGGATTTAAGGGCATGGAATGAACATGAACATCTCAATTGTGTCAGTGGATTAAAGGGCATGGAATGAGGATTGTAATTTTCTGTCAGTGCCACGTTTTTGTACAACATTTGCTTGTGCAGCAGTTTTTGTGCTTTCGTGTTATTCTTTAGTTTCGTAGTAAATTTGTGTAGTTACCCTGTGTTGAGCAAGAATTCCAACAACCCTGCCTTGGACGTACCATAACCGGAATGGTTGGGTTCCTACGAGTTTTTAGGCAATCCGATAAGCAGGTGTGCAGAGCAGGGGATATGTTATGGGGACATAAACGAAGATCAAAGGTTGAAGTGGATGGCGGATTGCGGAAGGGGGAAGAGGTGGTAGAGGGACTTGCGAAGGACCCGTGGGTACATGCTTGCCAGCTCTTAATGTTGTTCACGGTGACGTATTGGAGCCACCGGTTGAAGGGTGTTGATATTTCGAGGTTGAACGCGATCCTATTATTTGTGGTGTTCAAGCATGCACAACATAGTGTGATGTGGCATGACCCCAATAACAAATCTGTTACGACCCTGGCTATTTTCGAAGTGCAAATGCACAAGAAAAGACTATGCCGCCCAATTGCAGACCAAATAAGAGAATAAGAAAAAAGAAAGAAGAAGAAGATGTACACCAGCAAGACTGACAAAGTCCTCCTCCTTGTCTTTACCAATCTTATTCTTCTCCAAAACAATAATAATAACAACGAGTGGTTGAACCAGAATCAATATCCGAAGTTCCCTCTTACTGCCAGCACAACATTTAGGTTCGCCATATCCATGGCCCCCTCTTCTCCTTCCTCTCACAGGTTGAGGCTATGGCGGACTACGAAGGGTCCTGCCCTCGTGTGCAAAAGACAACGCAAAGCAGCTATGGCCACTGCCCTTCAGTCCGCAATGGCTGACTCTGCCTCGAAGCTTCCTTGATGTGGCACTACCCCAACTGGGGCATTCCAGATGCAGCACCTATCAAGGTGATGAAGATGGTGTCCACCATAGCCAGGAAGGTACCTTGCCACTCTCCTCCTCCACCCCCTTCTTCATCCACCTCAAGCTGTGCTGCTCGCCATAGCCAGGCAGAGCACCCAGCTCTCTTCCTTCCCCCAGACAGTGCTCTGAGAACCAGCACCCAATCAAGCAGCATGACGCACAAAATTGCGTACCACAAATGAGGTTGAGCTCAGCGCTCTACCTGGAGATATAGGGGCCTACTTGCCTCTTGGGCGGTGACTTCAGGCTTCGCGGCCTCCAAGCAACCGGTACCTCCTCCCTTTCGGATGGAAACATCATTGCAGGCTCTGATGTCGTCTGCCTAGGCCCTATACTCAGGCTACTTTTTGTCTTCCTCTGCTCAGCCTCCAGTTCCCGACACATCTACCGCTACGTGAGTGGTACCGGCCTACCCGCTGCCTTAGTGTGTCTTCCCTGCTGTCCTAACTGTTGTGGGCCTACTCCCCGCTACTCGAGTGTTTTCCCTGCGGGAACCCTCAAAGTCATGGCCACAGGTAACTACCGGCCCCACTTGCCTCACAACACACAAGTGCCCTATTGGGCCACACACAGGCAGGCAGATGTGCACTCAGACAGGCACACGGACCTGCAAGCACGCACACAGACACAGACTTGGAAAACCCAGCAGAACTCGGGAATCCCAGCAAGGCATACATTCCAGCAGCAAAACCCAGAAATCAGTAGTGTTCTCAGTCTGTGTTTTGGCGGGTCATTACAAATCTTTAGACCGAAATTGTCAGAAGCCCATAAAAAGAATTGCAGCGGTGAAATCCCTACAATTACAGAAATCGCTAACGTGAGAATCGGGCGATCCGGGCTGCCTGCGGTCCTACTGGCCCGACAGTACCAGTTTCCGCTTGATCTTAAGACTTTAAGACTTTAAGATAACACTACGATCCAGGCTGTCCGCCATGGATCGTCGCGCGATCTTAAAGTCTTAAGATCGAGGGATGATCCGAGCCATCGGCCGGGTAGGCCCACGGGCGGCCTGGATCATCGTGCTGGTTGAAAAAGAGGGCCTTTTGTAAGAGAATCGCCCAGCACCTGCGGGCCATTGGCCCGTTGCAGGGAGGCCACCTCCCATCCGCCTTCTCCTGCCATGTCCTCTCTCGGTTTCCTCCCAGCCTCCACCACCTCCCGTCTGCCTCCTCCCGTCATCTCCTCCCGCCATCACCTCTCCGCCTTATCCACCTCCCATCCGCCTCCCCTGGCCATCTCCTCCAGCCATCTCTCTCTGCCTCCGCCACCTTCCATCTGCCTCCTCCCGCCATCTCCACTTCCTCCACCTCCGCTCCTGCCTCCGTTCTGCTGCCCCCACATCCGCCATTCCCCTGCCCTCAAAAAAAAGGGGGGGGGCACGCCCAACTCCCCACGGCCAGGGCCAATCTCCTGTCCGCCTCCTCCTGCCATCTCCTCTCTCTTTCTTCTCCGCCTCATTTCTCAGCCTCTGCTCACCTCCGCTCTGGGAGACAGCAGACTGTCGGGGTTCAACCATCTGATGAGTTGGTGAAAGTTCGACGAAACAGTCTGGCACACATCGTCTTCCTTTGGTGGAGTTGTGTACAGTGAACTTGGCGACACACACACACACTAATGGGGCACGCTCACACACATGCACACGAGAGAGAGAGAGAGAGAGAGAGAGATTGAGAGCGCCCCACCTTAACCATGCTTTCTGATGAAGACGACGTTGAGGATGCTGAGGATGCTGAAAGATAAGGGACATGATTGATGAGGACAAGGCAAGTTGATAATGCAATAAGAATATCGAAACACGGGGAGGGTTTGGGGGAAGTCGGGGGAGGGGGGGGGGGGGCTCAAAGGCACCCCACATGGAGCAGCCATGTGGCTTGATCATTTTGTTCAATCTCTCCGTTTTTTCGTTTTCTTATTTTGTGTGCGTGTGTGAGAGAGAGAGTTGGGGCGGGGGCGTTTCTCTCTAATTCCTGACTCTGGGGGGGAGCTCGAAGGCACCCCACATGGAGCAGCCATGTGGCTTGATCATTTTGTTCAATCTCTCCGTTTTTTCGTTTTCTTATTTTGTGTGCGTGTGTGAGAGAGAGAGTTGGGGCGGGGGCGTTTCTCTCTAATTCCTGACTCTGATTTGGGAAGGGAGCATAGGCAGGGCAACTTCGTGAAGAAGTGGAGCTGGGCATGATGATGGTGGATGACCAGGGATCGTAACGCAGGGGAAGGGAGAGGAATCCGCGAGGGAGGCGAGTCAAGGGAAAAGGAAGGTGGGTGTGGCAGTCCGGGATTTGAGGTCAGGGCAAATGAGACGTGCAGCCATTGTGGGAGTTGGGATCAGGTGAAAGGGGGATGGGTGCACCATTTGAGGGAAAGGGGGGGTAAAGGCATGCCATGTGGCTCGGCTGTCTTTTTCGTTTTTTTTGTTTTCATATTTGTTTTTGAGTGTGTAAGAGAGAGCGGGAGAGAGTGAGAGGGGAGAGGGGGGATGGGACAGGGTTAGCGGGGAGTTGGGGGAAGGGGCTAAGGCATGCGATAGCTGTCTCACATGGGGCGATCTCATTTGCGTTTTGTTTTCTTTTTTCGTCTTTTGTGTGTGTGTGTGTGTGTGTGTGTGTGTGTGTGTGTGTGTGTGTGTGTGAGAGAGAGAGAGAGAGAGAGAGAAATTGCATCCCTCAGTTCCTGTCTTATTTGTTTTTGCGAGCGAATCTGCAACAGGTCATCTAGTGAATAATATAATACCGTACGAAATTGTGAAATAGGTGAGAAAGACATTGTGAACTTTTTAATCAACAAGGCAAAGTAAGGAGGGAATGGTGGTGCAGAGGTGAAGGTTAGGGGGGAGGGATGGAGAGAGATTGGCAGGAACATGCACATGGAGCCTTGCAGTACACATCCTTTTGATTGCACTGGGCAGGCCTGGCCCTTATGTCAAGTTTGTGAGTGTTGCAGTTGTAAATCTGTGCATGTAAGCCACTTCCATTGAGGATAGAAACACAACTTATAAGGAGCGGGCTTAAGCTAGTGCTTGTATTACTTCTTAGTTAGCAGGTGTGTGAACAAGCTCACACTGATTCTTGTTAGCAGGCGCGTGAACAAGCTCACACTGATTCTTGTCACACTTCGTAGTTCCCAAATTTGTCTCAAGGTTCTTTGCCTAAGGTTGTGCTGATCTAGGTTGCACCACAAGCTTGCCACATGTCATCTTAGTCATTCATCTTGCGTCTTAACCTCGTCTTTCGTTGTGTTTTGCAGATCGATCAATTAATGGACCAGGAGGTTATCAATCTGTCTGGAGGAGAGTTACAGCGAGTTGCTATCTGTCTATGCCTTGGAAAGGTTGGTCTTCCTTATGCGGGTTGTGTAGAACCTTGTTAAACATATGATCGTGGGTTTGACCAGGTGACCGACTCTCTGTCTATGCCTTGGAAAGGTTTGTGTTCTTTATGCAGGTTGTGTAGAACCTTGTTTAACACAAGGTCATGGTTTGTCTAACTCTATTCTTTTGGGGTATTACAGCTCCTTTGGATGGGGTTGTAGAACCTTGTTAAACACAAGGTCATGGTTTTGACACGGTGTCGCACTATTCTTCTGGGGTGTCACAACTCTGTTGGATGGGGGGCTTTCAGATATGTGCAAACTGCGCTTGGACGCCTTCACTGCCTCATCGTCAATAGAGGGTCCTTCTGATTGGAGCTGCAGTGGCATTTGCTGAGTTGTTCAATATTGGGGTGTCTGCAATTCAGCCACTTTCCCAGAGAAAGCTCACAACAGAGGTCAAAAGTAGCATGCCATGTCAAGTTAATCACGTGAAAGAATCTACTGGCTGTGGCAAGGCTCTGTCTAATATTGTTTTTCGAACATTTGGCAGTAGAATGAAAGCATATCTAAGGGGTGTTTGGAAGGGTGTATCCCCTATACTACCTATAGGGACTTCAGAGTGTTGGTACAACAAGGATTTTCGGTGCCTATTAGAGTTGGACTGTTTCGGGGGGCTTGAAATCTTCATGACATTAACGAAACTGATAACCATCATAACCCGGATGTCTGGATCGGTGGCCCATGATCGCGACCACATCTGGGCTGTCAACTTGTACGGGGAAGGCTGAGGTGCATGGCCAGTCCTAAGTTTTTGTTGTTTGGCCTTGTATCTGGGTTCTCTGCCCTAGACAAGTTGCTGGGTGTACATTTTGCAGCGGATCTGGGGTGTTGGGGGGTAGGTGCCCCAGATTTTGGGAAGCGACCATCTCTGCGCATCTTAAAAAAACAGCCTCTGCATACAGTGTCCCACACTGCCCAGTGAATCCTGTTTCTTGGCAAACCGTCATCCTCTCGCTCAGGTTTCTCGACAGGCACTGCTCTAGCTACTTATAGCCCAGCAGCTGAATGCCTTTCTCGCTCCTGTCTCTCTTTCCGTGGCTCTTTCTCTGTCTCCCTTAGAAAAAGACTCTTTCTACGTCTGCCTTGTTTTTGTTCTCATTGAGATAGGGCAGACTGTTTCCCACCTGGCCATCTTCTCCGGCTGACCCTTTGGGTGTGGGAATGTGGGCACGCGCCAGCAGGGGGCTGGAGAGAGAGAGGGAGGGCCTAACTCTCTCAAACTATTGCCGCCTCCGAGCTTCCATAAATCTGTGAACTCACTCCAACCTCCTCCACTACGGCAACCCCCTCCACCAGCCTCATGCCCGCCACTGATAGCAAAACACGTTCGGTGACCTGGAAACAATAGCTTTTTCAAATGTCCATTGAAAAAGAAGTGATGCCGGTAGTGTGACAAGGAGGTGGAAATACAATCGGGCTAATCGGAGTTTGATTTTTAGAGTGTCATTCAAAAAAACGAATTAAAGTGACAAGGGCGTGACAAGGAGGAGATGAGATGGAGAAGGGGAGATGGAGGGGGAGGATGAAAAGGAGGACGTGAGGAGGAGAGATGGAGGAGGACAGTGACGACAATGTGATAAGGAGGGCAAGATACCATCACAGATCGAACTTCCGTGATGAGGAGGATGAGAAGTGGAGGAGGAGATGAAGAGATGGAGGAGGACAAGCGGATACGGAGGAGGAGGATGACGATGGCGACGACGAGCTACCATCACAGTTCCAACTTCAAAGTGCCCATAGAAATAAAAATAAAAATTGACGAGGCCGTGACAATGAGGATGAGAGGTGGAGGGGGGGAGATGGAGAGATGGACGAGGAGGGATGGAGGAGAAGGACAAGGATAGCTGGAGGAGGAGGACGACTACGACGAGGAGATACCATCACAGTTCGAACCTTTCCATTTAAAAAAAAGGAAAGAAGTGACGAGGCGGTGACAAGAAGGATGAGAGGTGGATGAGGAGATATGGATGAGGAGGGATGGAGGAGGACGAGGAGACATACAGGAGAACGACGAGGAGACATACAGGAGGAGAACGACGAGGAGACAGGAGGAGGAGGACGATGAGATACCATCACAGCTCGAATTTCAAAGTTTCTATTAAAAAAAAAAGATAAAAGAAAAAGTGACAGGGACATGACAAGGAGAATGAGAGGTGGAAGAGTAGAGGGGGAGAGATGGTGGAGAAGAGATGGAGAGGTGGAGGAGGATATATGGACGAGGGACGGTGGAGGAGGAGGACGAGGACAGATGGAGGAAGAAAAAGGGACGAGGAGGGACAGAGGAGAAGGACGAGGAAGGATGGACAAAGAAAGGTAAATAGGGTGATACCGTCACAAATGGAAGTTTATACAAGAAAAGGTGACGAGCCCTTGACAAGGAGGATGAGGAGGACAGGTGGAGGAGGAGGAGGAGGAAAGATGCACACTGAGGGGAGGCTGATGAGAGGTTGAGGAGGAAGTGACGTGAAGGAGAGATGGAGGGACGAGGAGGAGGCAGATGTGACGAGGAGATAGTCCGAGATACTATCAAAGCTCCGAGTAAAAGATCTGATACTATGGAAGGAAAAGAAAAGGACAATACCGGGACGAGGAGGAGAGATGGAGGAGGAGGAGAGGAGGGGGAAGGAGAAGATGTGGAGGAGGAGGAGGGGGGGAAGGAGGTGAGTTCGAGGGAGGGAAGGAGGGACGGTGAAGACTCACCTTGGAGGAGGGTTGAAATCCGCAATGGTCGCTCCAGAGCTCAGCCTCAGTGATGACGCAAGTGCAGGGGGAGGTCGGCACTGCTCGTAGCGGGGGAGTGATGGCACTGCTTCCCGGAGTGGACTGGAGGCGGCTGCAACAAGGAGTAAACGGCCCGCCGAAGCCCTGCCAGTATTGACCTGCGAAAACTAGGAAATGGTCCCCCCCACCCGAAACGAAATTCGAAATTGTTTCGGGCCGCACTTGAGAGTGGCCTGCTAAAAAACAAAATTGGGCCCCAAATCCCCCCAAACCATTTTTACTGGGGGGGCGGCCCAGGGATGAATCGACGCCCGGGCTTCTTTGTAAATAAAGTTTTGGCCTGGGCCTTCGTGTGCCGTGCAGGTCGTGTGCCGCTCAGATGGTCCGTGAATCAGCGCATGACATGCGCTTGCATGTATATGATATGCAGGTCTCCTCACCTGGATCTTGACTAGGTTGTTTTATGCCATGACCTTTTCACCATTTGGTTGATACATATTGCTAAGTGAACTTGGGGTGATGATATTTACATTTAATCCTGATTCATGCTGAAAGATGTTTATTAAGAATTGGTGTGAACGGTCTGCCGGAACAGGGAATATCTGTACGGAGGTGCGGAAAGCAGACAGCGGGACCAAACGAGCTTGTCCGTGAAGGGCTGTGTGTGTCCTCTTTGCAAATCACATACAGTCCAATATCTGAGTAAAGATGCCAGTATGAAAACATTCTCTCGATTGAGAGTAAGGAAGAAGTCCAAAAATGGGTTGAATTTGAATATAGAGCGGAAGGACCCGCATTTCGAAATGGTGATATCAAGCCTTGGGTTTTGCAGATGTATAACATTGGTTTTTGTTGTGTGGTGGGCATTTGCAGCCTGCTGACATTTACTTGATTGATGAACCAAGTGCATACCTGGACTCTGAACAACGTATTGTTGCTGCCAAGGTCATCAAACGTTTCATTCTTCATGCCCAGAAGACTGCATTTGTGGTGGAACACGATTTCATCATGGCCACGTATCTTGCTGATCGGGTGATTGTGTACGAGGGTAATCCATCTGTGGACTGTGTTGCGAACACGCCACAGAGTCTTCTTACGGGCATGAATCTGTTTCTCCAGGTGCGTTTTTTTTTGTTTTTTTTTTGCTCATTGCCTGTCAATCTTGAATATACGGGACTGCCGTGACCAGCTTAGTAGGTACTGTTTTGTTTCCAAACTTGGAGATTTGAAGATTTCAGCTTTTTGATCTTTCGATTATGAGCTCGGTTAGCAACATGATCTCTGAGTTTGTATGGGGTTCCATACAGGAGGGGAGGCCATAGGATTTCAGAATTTATTATTCAATTTATTTCATTCCAGGCGTCGACCGGCGAATGTATTTATCGAGGGGATGTGTTTGTATTGTGTTTAGCCTGCTAGTTGGAAATGTGTTTTCGAAAGATAGTCGTGCATATGTAATATGGCTTTTATATGTTGTGATAAACAATGAAGAGTGTGCGCTGCTCGAGCTCGAATATGTGACAAGTTTCGTTATAACAGACATTAACGAGTTGAAGTTGTGTGGTGTCGTTTCTGGTCATGTTTGCAGCATTTGGACATCACATTCAGGAGAGACCCTTCGAATTTCCGTCCTCGCATCAACAAGCTGGATTCTATCAAGGACAGGGAGCAGAAATCAGCGGGCAATTATTATTACTTGGATGAATAGGTCTCACTTCCTGCGCTGCTGATTGTGTCCCAGCATTCTTTCTACAGTCATTTGTGTGCTGTTTGATGTGGTGGTTGTGCTGGCTGTCTCTCGACGTCGTGCACACAGGCACACACACACACACATGCATTCTGCATGTCAGATAAGTTACGTACCTGTTATCTCTTTCCTCAACTACTGACCACCGCATTCTCCATTCCCATTGTCAGTCTCCGCCTCTCGGATCCGTGTTTGCTCGCTTGTTTTTGTGAGCATGTGTTATGCTTGCTGATTCTTTCAGCTCTACTAGGCTTTGAATTACAGAGGGTGTGTTAATGCCTCTATCCTCCTACCCAATATCGTGTCGTGGCGTGGGTCTCGACCTGGTTCGCAGACTGGATACCAATCAAGTCACAGGAGTTTTCCAGTGCTTGGGCACATGCCTACCCGCAGTGAGCTTCATGGGCTCAGTTTTGGCTCTCAGGTCCCCTGTAGTCTGGTGGGCTTTTAGATCCTTTCTTTCCCTTTAGGTCCCCGGCTGTATGTGTGTGCCTTGTGGATTGGAGCGAATTTCAGGCTGATGCGGCTGGCGTTCTGGATGTTACATGGGTTATGTACGCCCCTGTTCAACGGTCAGGGCCGAACAGTGGATGTAGGCAGTTATTTGCATGCTATAGTTGTCATCCTGAAATGTGAGTCGTTCAATCTGCAGCGTGTTAGGGTTGGATGTGCTTCGGTGCAATTGTTATTTCTAAGGCATTGGATATCATTTGGTGTTGTTCGAGTTTTTGGTCAAAGAGAAGGAAGAGAATATTCAAACAGACGAGACTCTCTAACTCAGTAGGTGCCTTTTCCTATAATTCGACCAGATTCAATTGGAGGACACATTGCGAGTTTGTGATCACACCTATTGCTTACCTAGCTGTGTGAGGGCCGTGAGAAATGGCCCTCCTTCGAATGGCATTGTCTTCAAGGACTTTGAAGGATGTATTTGAACGGAATGTCCATCATAAATAGGGAAGTCCTGGTGTGAGTGTGCGCTAAGAAATGGGCATCTCTCTCTCTCTCTCTCTCTCTCTCTCTCTCTCTCTCTCTCTCTCTCTCTCTCTCTCTCTCTCTCTCTCTCTCTCTCTCTCTCTCTCTCTCTCTCTCTCTCTCTCTCTCTCTGTGTGTGTGTGTGTGCATGCGCAAACTGTTGACGAGGGGTAAGCAACATTGGCTTTTTAATCAGGCAAGACATCTTGGATCAAAGCAGGATGGGAAGCTGAATTGGTGAACCAAAAACTTGCAAGAAGTGCATTTTGTCAGGCCTGAAAGCGACCAGTACCACTGCGTGAAAAATTAAGGCGTGCACTGGACTGATGTGGTTTCTTTTTTTTTTTTTTTAGCCACCATTACGTTTCCCACCCAACAAAACCAGTTCTGGTGTGCATGCGGCCGGGACTTTTACGAAACCCCCGGGCTCCATTTCACTGGAGATCCATGCAGGTTTAACGGGTTGCATGGTACGTCCTGAAAGTTGCGTCCGCATGCTCGCCGCAACTTTGCCTCAACTTTGTTTTGTTGGTTAGGGAGCGTATTGGCGGTTTAATCAACTTTAATATTGTTTTCACTCGCTGGCGACCTTTACCTAAACTCTCCACCAAGCCAGCTTGTGTGTCGAGCCGGTGTGAGGTCCAGATGCAGGTGGTAAGAAAAATGAGAAGAAAAAAGAAATGGGCTGAGATCCGAATATATATGTGACCTAACAGCACCACTCAACAAATATGAATGAGACAAAAGGAATAAAGTGAAAAAAGGGAGAAAGCAGTATAAGTTAAAATGGATTCCCCAGCCAACAGGCTCACGGTGTACTTCGCACGGGGATCGTTTTTAATAATTTGGACAATTTCTAGTTTAGGTGTGTCATCCTTGCTCAGGGGCAATGCTATCCGTCCGGGTATCGGTTAATTGTAACGGATGTCCAGAATTGTGGAGGTCGGCAACCGGCCGGTTGAGCTACCCCGGTCCAACCGGAGCCGGACCAGACCAGGGGGGTGAACCGGGAAATCGGTTTTGAAAAAAAAGTGCCCAAATATCTTCTTTTTTTTTTTTCTTGGGCAGATTCCGACTGCGCTCTTCAAGAGCTGTCCGAATCCTCAATAAAATTTTTAAGGTACAACGTTTTTCAGGGGGCTTCGAGAGGGCGCCAGGGGGGTATGATTGACATATTCAGGCACCTACGGCTTCCTCAGCGAGGGGTCAAGTAAGTTCACTTATCCGACCCCCCCGTCGTTGGAGCACTTCGTGGAGTATGTCATTTGATATTGATACCCCACGAGCTGAACCAGATATGATGAGAGGAGGTCCTTGCCCGAAATTATAGCTCTTCCAGAGTATATTTCGACAGCAGAAAAGTTATGGTTCCAGCTTTCTGCTCGTGGGGGCAGAGCGTTTTCTGTTTGTTGGTTCCTACATAAGGTGAGTTGTCAGTCCGGAAGTATCTTGTCTGGCAGTCTGTCCAGATACATGTAGTGGAGCAAGGTCCATTCGAGATAGATAGATAGAGGAATATGGGCCTCGCTGCACTACTCTCGAAATGTGCAAAACGAGAGCGAATCTTCCGCTAGAATTCGGAAAGATACACCGCCAAGATTTTTGTCTTTTGTGCATGTCGAGAGTAGTGCAGCAACGCCCTATATTT